ATGAATTAGAGTAAGGTGCCCACTGCAATTAGACTTTTACCTTCTCCTAGGAACTTGGAGATAGGGGAGCGAAGGTCCTTGATATTTGCATTTCAAAAAGATAACTTTCTTAGGCAGTGCCTGTGGCTCAGACAGGTAGGGCGCCAGCCCCATATGCCAGAGGTGGTGGGTGGGTTCAAACCCAGCCCCAGCCAAAAACTGCAAAAAAAAAAAAAAAAAAAGCAAAAAGATAACTTTCCTTCTCAATAGTGATTTTCAACTTGTGTTCAACCGCATGGGCCTACACACTTAGTGTGCTGTGAGAAGATCTAAGTGTGCCATGAAAATTTTTTTAAGATCATTAATTCAATTATTTTCAAAAGAAATTCAAAACACAGTAAGCATATTCTTTCTTTCTTTCTTTCTTTTTTTTTTTGATCAACATAATTTAAGTTTGCCGCAGGAGGGAGTTTAACTATAGGTTCAAGTGTGCTGTGAGATAAAAAAGGTTGAAAACACCGGGCTGCAACCTGCTGCGGAGCATTGCCAAGAAAGGACTTGGCTGTGGATAAGGTGTGAACAATGACACTGAAGCTCAGCAAAAGAAATCCGTAAATCCAAGCGTGGTTAAGAAGTTTCGTTAGGTATCATTCTTCTTAAAAGTGTTGGGGAAATAAAATTTCTTCACAATCGAAAAAACAACTCCTCAAAGGCAGACCATTAGAAACCTACTTGAAGCATTCAACCAAAAACGCAGTGCACATCAGAGGCAGTTTGCTAAGTGATTACAGAGACAGAAAGAGATCTCATCCCTTTCTATGGCCAAGCAGACACAACTCATTACATACATGTTACCAACGCAAATAGTCACGGGATAGCACATTTTATCACATATTGTTCATCTTAACTTTATTATGGCAATTGGGAACCATGTGTATTAGCTAATTGGCTTTAAAGGAGAAAAAAACTTGTATCTTTGCAACAGGAAGGAGTTTTGCGAATTGGAGCAAGGTGCCTACTGAAATTCGGCACTTAACCTTCTCAAGGATCCTGGAGGTAGGGAAGCTAACTCTCTTGACTTTTGTATTTCAAAAACATAACTCCCAGGTCCCTGTGGAAGATATTTCTTGGTCATAAAGCTGCTAAAAAGTCTACCTAGTCTTCTAAGGGATGCATTTCAAAGAGATGAAAATGTATTTGCAATTACCAGTTTCCTAAGGTAAATGCCCAAAGAAAAAATTCGGTAGAGAAATCTTTTCGTTTATTTTCAACAGGGAGAATTAAACTTCTTACAATGAATTTGTGTTTGCCCTATAATAGGTATAGCTTTTTGAACAGAAAAAAATACATGTGAGAGAAGAGACGGAAGGTATGACCACATCTTACTCAGAAGCGTGACCTCTGGGTGGCAGGACATCGGAATAACATCCCTCCTCCATGTCTGGTTTTAGAGCCCTGGAGAAGTCAGGTTCCTACCATTCCTGCAGTGGGTCCCCAGCCCTTATCTGATTTTATGAGTCTCAAATGAGCAAAGGGGGTGTTGAAACGTCACAGGTAGCCAGCAGAATAGATGGCAAATGTTTCCTTCAGACTTTTAAAGGCATCAGACTCTCAGTTCCTCTTTCCTAGATTTGAATAAGGGAAGGTCTGGCTGCGTCAGTGCAGATTCTCCAGAGAGTAAATTTCCCCCCCGAAAGGTGGCTTCCCAGGAGGACTTCTATCCAATGGCTCTCTGAACAGCCATTTCAAAATATAACAAAAAATATATTTGGCAGTAAAATAGTTTGACTTCAGTCCCCACTGAATACTTCAAAAAGTTTCACATATTAAAAGCTAAGTTGGAAACTTCGGAGAGATTGGGATAGAAAATGTTAGATACAGAAGGACAAAGGAGTGAAAAAAACAAATGGTGATAATCAGAAAAGAATAATTTAAAATATATCACTCTCTATATTTTTGAATCAATCTCTTAAACCTGAGAACGAATCGTTTCAGTTAAGCAGCAGAGTCCTATTCCAGGAAATAGAATTGTAGATGGGCTCGGCCTTTGTATGTGATGTAGGCAAACAGAGCTTCACTAAGAGGCATTTCAGAAGAAAAACAAAGGTTAATGTATGGAGTAGTCTAGTTTTCTTCAAAGCCTCTGAATTATCTTCAGATTGCATTGGCAATCTGACAGATCTTTATGTACTGTCGTTTGAACCAAATGTTCAAGTGAACTTTCTGAGAAGTTTATACGTTAGGCATGAAGGCTATTTACATGTAAGTTGCTGTGGTGCTTTCTCCTGAAGTTTGTTTCACATTAGTTTGCAGGGCTTTAAGAAAAGCAGTTTTAGGCAAGGTTCCCTTAGCACAGTGGTTACAGTGCCAGCCACATACACTGAGGGTGGCGGGTTCGAAGCCAGCCTGGGACAGCTAAACAACAATGGCAACTCCAACCAAAAATAGCTGGGCATTGTAGCGGGTGCCTGTGGTCCCAGCTACTTGAGAGGCTGAGGCAGGAGAATCACTTAAACCCAAGAGTTTGAGGTTGCTGTGAGCTGTGATGCCACAGTGATCTACCGAGGGCAACATAGTGAGACTCTGTCTCAAAAAAGAAAAAAAAAAAAGCAGTTTTAAATTTTAGTGATTTCAAGTAAAAAAATAAAAGAAAAACTTGAAAACTGTAAGCTAAAAATCCTAAACCCACCTCCCATCACCAACTGAACAGATTCCCTTTTAGCCAAAGAGACCCCAGAGAGAACTTCTGAGTTCCTGCCCATGATGAGATGGGAAAGGTTGGACATGCATCATTATGTCCCCTCTCTTTTGGAGTTTGGCTATAATGACTGAACAATATTAATGTTAAAATAGAGATCATAACACTGACAAGACAGGCTTTGTGGTGGTAAGATACCAAAGTACAAATATGACCTAAGGCAGAGCTAAGTCATTACCAGCAGGCTGCCGATCGTGCTCAACAGGTCATTTTGACTTAGCATATTATAATTTGCTCCCTTAAGCTGACTCTGACATAGCATCTTTAACCTAATGTAAATATTCCTTTTTGCTAATTCCAAGTTATTAGGAAAATTTTGTTCCTTTAACCAACTGCAAACTAAAGAATCTCTAAATCCATTTATGATCTGTAAGCCCCCACTTCAAGATATCCCATTTTTTTTCAGGCTGAACCAATGTATAACTTCCATATATTGATTTATGCCTTTGCCTGCAATTCTTGCAGCTCTAAAAATGTATAATACCAAAACTGCAATCTAACTGCCTTGGGACCCCTTACCCAAAACATCTGGGTTTGTATTTTCCCTGGGGCTGCCATTACTCATATTGGCTCAACACATACCCCTTTAAAATATTTTAGAGAGTTTGCCTTTTTCCTTTAACCTAACTTTGGTTTTGAGACTCGCAGCTAAGAAATAATTTAGAATTCAGTACAAATTGTAGGCAAATAGAACACAAAAACAATGGTCAAGGCAGGAACACAATAATAGGTGTACCACAGTTTTCTTCTGAAACATAATTTTTTCTCTTCAGTCCCCCATTTCTACTAAAGACAAATCATTGTAAGACCAGTTTATTTGTAAAATAAGTTTTAGTCTTATTATAAATGGCCTGATTATTTGCATAAACCACAGCAAGAATAGTGATTAGCTATGTAGGCTCTTTCAAAGTTGGCTTTGTTGGAATATTTTTTATGAAGAATCTCAGATGAGACTTTTAAAATCCTCGAGCCTATAAAGTGAAGCTAATACTTACCACCAAACTGTGCCTGTGAAGTTCTTTGTGTTTGAAGCCCCACAATATCTTGAGATTCTTGGGCCTATCAGAAAGTAACTTACTATAGGTCAAAAATAAAGGACTCCTTCATACAAAGTACCAAACTAGTCTTTTGAAAGGACTTTTTATCAGCTCTGTAAAGTTAACTTCAATCTCTCATAGTGTCTGATCTCATCTAAAAATATGTCATTCTAGTCAAAGCCTTAGTCAAATAAGTAGTTTCTTCAATTGTATCCGATATAAAATAAAACAGACTCATAGTTAACTCATGCAAATAACTAGATTACCATAAATTATGAATACTCTGGGCCAGGCACAGTGATTCACACCTGTAATCCTAGCACTCTGGGAGGCCAAGGCAGGTGGATCACTTGAGCTCAGGAGTTTGAGATCAGTCTGAGTAAGAGTGAGACCCCCATATCTAAAGCTAGCCAGGCACAGTGGCAGCCCCCTGTAGTCTCAGCTACTCGGGAGGCTGAGGCAAGAGAATTACTCAAATGCAAAAGTTTGAGGTTGCTGTAAGTATGACACCACGGCACTCTAACAAGGGCATCAAAAAACTCATCAAATCTATGAAGTGTAGAGTATAAATGTCTTAACACAATAATTAAGAAAGTGAGGTGAAGGCTATGTTGACCAGTTTGATGTAAGCATTCCAAATTGTGTATAAAACCAGCACATTATACCCCATAAATGCATTAATGTATACAGCTATGATTTAAAATATATATATATATATATAAATAAAAATAAAAAAAGAAAGAAAGAAAAGAAGTTTCTAAATTCTGGAGAAATCAGGTAGTGAAAAAATTAAATGTATCAATTTTGTTTATAAATGTATACTTTATTCAATTGTTTTAAAAGCTATAAATAGACTCAAAGAAAAAAGGTTTGGAATACTCTGGAAAAGAAAACATAAAAAGAATCAGCACTGTTACAAGGAAAAGAAAAGTCTTGAAGATTTTATTTCCCTACTGTTTAGACCCACATAATTAACTCTTGTTTTGCTCTATGTTGGTTACATGATTCTCATGAACTCACCATCTTTTTTTTTTTTTTTTTTGGCCAGGGCTGGATTTGAACCCACCACCCCTCCGGCATATGGGGCTGGCACCCTACTCCTTTGAGCCACAGGCGCTGCCCCACACCTTCTTTTTAACTAGTCCTGGAAGTTTGTATCTACCTAGTCCAATCGAATAGTCTCCAAAGTTATCAGAGACATGTACCCAAGAGGACTTGTCAGGTATTTGCTTCAACAGCATATAAACAAAAATTGGAATTATGCAGAGAAGATTAGCATGTTCTGTGTACAAGGATGACATGCAAATTTGTGAAATGTTCTATTAAAAATAAATAGTGATACTGAATTTCTCTTCTCACAAGTTTCTTGGTCTCGGGAATCGAAGAATAAATTCACAGACCATAGGCATGCAGAAGTGAAAGAATGATAGTTGATTAGACATCAGAAAAGCTTCCAATACAATAGAAGGGGGACGTCCGTAGGGTTGGCATTGCAGCTTAGCTGTTTGGGGGCTTTTATGCCTTGTCTGCCTGCCCAAACCTTACTGGCAAACACTGATTCAGTCCTTTAAACCTAACTGACTTACACTGATTGATTTCTTAAAGCCTTAACTGTCTGGCCTCCGTTGCTTGGTCCTTTTTATTCATGTCTGTGGGCTTCCATTCCTCATTCCCCTTTGGGGAGTCCGGCCCCTTGGCAAGCCCCGCCCAGCAACAGCCAGTGACCAATAGCTGCACAGATCACCTTATAGGAGTCCCTCCCCTTTCCTCTCCCTCCTCCTTTGCAGTCCTTGCTTAAGGCTTCTATCAATGGTTCTTGTCAAAGTTCTTTCCAGACACTTTCTTGAAGAAGAAATAAATTTTGTGCCTCATTATAAACCACTTTTTGAGAATAATAAGTAAAACAATAATTATCTGTGGATGACAAAAGACTTAGAATAACCATAATTAAAGATATACAGAAGTAACAAGGAAATTTGGTTATTTTACTTCATACAACAATTTCACTTTTATCATATGGTTATTCCATAATTATTACTTATAACATATGCCAAGACATCAGAATTTTAGGAATCTGATACAATTTTGGAACAAATTGTAATAATACATTGGTACAAATGGAACTCAAAGAAAGTAAAACAGCATTTCTTATTTGACAATGTTTCAGTATGATCTTTACGTACCAAAATTCAAGAGTTAGTTCAAGGTCTAAAAGACCTAATTTTAGAACTTGAAATTTGATTTTGAGAGAAGTTTGTCAAATATCAAAGGTCAATAAAATAGTAGTCTCTGAATTGTCACATTGACTAAAGTGATAATCAAAGATTTCAAAAAGCAAAAACCTTTATTATTTGATGTAGAGGAAATTCAGTTTCCCAAACAATCGAAAACCAAACAAAGACACCATGAAACAAAAATCTCTCTCTTTCCTCTTTTATTTTTTCTCACTCTAAAGGCAAACAAAAATCTCCCAATATTTTTATTAATGCTACTTGAAAATCTTATTTCAAAGAGAAAATGAAATTTTATCTTTATATTAGCATATTATTAATGTTAAAGAGACTATATAAATCTATCTTACCAATTTACCTAGGCAAAGGGAAGTCTCAATTAAATTCTGAAAGCAGTTTTGTTTCATTTTAGTAATAATTTTAAAACTAGCTTTATTCAAAGATTATTAAAATCACATGAACTTGAATAGAATTGCATCTTATTTACTTAAAGTGTTGCAGGAAGATGAGGCCTAACAGAGAGAAAAAGCACCCAAACACCACGTTTATAAGAGGAAGGGCTTTATTCACCAGCCGAGAGCTTACTGCATAGAAGAATCCAAATGGCTGCACTCCCCAACTGGCTTGGTCTTTCCCTTTTTATTGACAGTCAAAAAGTTCTACTCCACAGGCACCCTTCTCATTGGCCAGTTTGAATCAAGCAGAAGATGCTATTCTAGCCCCTACAGAACTATAGGATTTCATAGAACTTGGAAATTTCCAAGTTCCAGGAAGTTAAGTTGACAAATTTCCAA